CAGTGTACAGTAGTGTAGTACAGTGTACAGTAGTGTGGTGCAGTGTAGTGCAGTGTACAGTAGTGTAGTACAGTGTACAGTCGTACAGTGTACAGTAGTGCAGTGCAGTGCAGTGTAGTACAGTGTACAGTAGTGTAGTGCAGTGTACAGTAGTGTAGTGCAGTGTACAGTAGTGTAGTGCAGTGTAGTACAATGTAGTGTAGTGCAGTGCAGTGCAGTGTGTTGGCACAGCCCCTCTGCCCTGCTGTGCACCAGCTGCCAGAGACAGGGAAGGGCCAGTGGGTGTCGGTGTGAGGCTCCTCTCTCTGTGACCTGTTTGTCCTCCTCTCTTCTCTGTTCTTCTCTCTCCTCCTCCTCTCTCTCTTGTTCCCTCCTCTTCCATCCTCCTTTCTCCTTTCAATCTTCACTCTGTCTCTCCCCCTGCTCCTGGCTGAGACCTCTCTCTCCTGCTGTTGCTGTAGTCATCCCCCTCTCCTCTCTGCCTGTCCCTCCTCTCTCTCTCTGGCTCGGGCGGGTTGGCTGTCCAGTTACAGGGCGAAGTGACACATGGAATCAGAATGAGAGAGGGAGAGAGGAGGAGGGGAGAGGACAGGCTGTGCTGTTCCCTCCCTCCTGCTCTGTCCCAGCAAGATGGTGGGGGGGCAGAAATGTAGAAATGATTTTCTCTCAGTGTCTCTCTCCTGTCACTGGCCTCTCCCCTCCTCGCTCTGTGTCTCTGCTCTCGGCCCCTGGCAGTTCTGGCAGTTTCTCTCTGCAGCTGTGAACACGGAACATGTCACCGAGGAACCCACTCGCACGCACGCACACACACGCACACGCGCACACACGCACACACGCACACACGCACACACACATGCACTCTTATACACATGTACATACATACATGCACACTCACAAACATTCACTCGCATAAACACACACACACACACAATCAGCACAGACAATCCACACAGCAACACTGACCTCCCAGTATTCACGACTGCTTTCAACAATCAGTGTGTCAGTGTGTATCACAGTCAGTGTGTCTCTCAGTCAGTGTGTATCTCAGTCAGTGTGTCAGTGCGTCTCTCAGTCAGTGTGTCAGTGTGTATCACAGTCAGTGTGTATCACAGTCAGTGTGTCAGTGTGTATCTCAGTCAGTGTGTCAGTGTGTATCTCAGTCAGTGTGTCAGTGTGTATCACAGTCAGTGTGTATCTCAGTCAGTGTGTCAGTGTGTATCACAGTCAGTGTGTACCTCAGTCAGTGTGTCAGTGTGTACCTCAGTCAGTGTGTCAGTGTGTACCTCAGTCAGTGTGTCAGTGTGTATCTCAGTCAGTGTGTATCTCAGTCAGTGTGTCAGTGTGTATCACAGTCAGTGTGTATCTCAGTCAGTGTGTCAGTGTGTACCTCAGTCAGTGTGTCAGTGTGTATCTCAGTCAGTGTGTCAGTGTGTACGTCAGTCAGTGTGTCAGTGTGTATCTCAGTCAGTCTATCACAGTCAGTGTGTATCACAGTCAGTGTGTCAGTCCGTCTGTATCTCAGTCAGTGTGTATCACAGTCAGTGTGTCAGTGTGTCAGTCCGTCTGTATCTCAGTCAGTGTGTATCTCAGTCAGTGTGTCAGTGTGTCAGTGTGTATCTCAGTCAGTGTGT